GCACAATCGCTCCAATCGCTAAGTCTGACATCGGTCAGTAAGGGGGAGTGGAGACCTACGGGATGTGACAGTCGCTGCCTATTCCATAGAAACGCCAACTCTGCAGGGGAACCCGTGGTGCGTGAATATTCGTTTCTACTTATACACCCACCCCGCAGCAAGCTCCTCTGCACACAAGCACCTTCCCTGTTACTGGATAAGATCCAAATTCGATCTATTCTTTAAAATATGCTATGGAATATATGGGCTAATGCTCACAGTTGAAGTTTTAATCTTATTTTCAGGCTGCAGAACGAGCAAATGTGCATATGAATCTCCTCATGTGTTGCGATACAAGAGTGTTGCGACTCAATAAACTCCAGGACGTGATCCATAAATCCTTTAGAAATACATTCCCTGAGCTTGATGTACACAAGGTACTTCAATAGTGTTTATGGATTTTGATGAACTTTTTGTATGGAAAGAACGGCAACAGTGCTGCTTGCAGGTCACGGAAGTTGAGCTCAAGCATGGCGGGATGAAAGAAAAGTGGCATGATTTCTGTGAGAGTTTCAAGGAGGTGAGCAGTACCGACTTGTTTTTCTAATGGTGAATTCCTAGGTATAGTTTCTTATCCTATCCTAATGTTCTAGGCGCTTTTTAATGAATGATGGTGCTGTTCGACCTAGTTTAGTTGTATGTCAAAATTTAATCCTCAGAGAAGTTATGATATGAGGTGTTAATGATACGGTATCGTATTTCATACGAAGCATAAGAAATTGCAATATTTTCATGACACGAATCAGGTAAAGAAATATTTAGGTCGTGGAGGACTACTCACTGGGAACACTTATGCGGATAGAGGCTTGTAAGGGTTATAGCGAGGAGAACACTGTCGTCGTTCCAAAGGCAAGCTGATTTTTCTCGTTAGTTGTTGGCGTTTTTGATGACTCGGCGGGTGCTAGGCTCTGCGTCATACTGAAAGTCCCTAATTTTGCATTTTGCTTTCTTCTTGTTTCTCTTACCACTTTTGTGTTTTCTATCTTCCTACTGTATTCTTTTTACATAGTTCAGTCACAGCTTTTGAGCATACTTTGACTGGGAATTTAATTTGTCACTGATAATCCTTCCCTTCAATTTAACCTTCTTTGAATTATAATCTGGACATACGAGGGCACTCGATATGATAGCTTGGGTTTCTACTTCTGTGATACAACTGTTGTTCTTTATTATTCTCCAATATTACCTTCACGCCTGCGAGTACTCAGCCCTTTTCTAGTGTGTGTTTTTTTTAATTCGTCATTTTTTAAATTTGTCCTATGCTCTCGCCGACTTCACCTCACCATATGTCTGTTTCTCTCAATGACTCAGAATTTACCAAGTTTTTCTATTGCTTCCATTCCATTCATGCCTTTTGCTTTTTTACTACCGTGGTTCTTTTTAAATTTGATCCTTTGCTCACTAGTGAATTTGTGCTTGCTTCCTCGTTTTTCTTCCTTCGTTTCTAGCTTTTTTTTTACATATCTTTAGGCGAAAAAAGTAACATAATAATACTCCTTCAAAATATAGTGCTGATACATGACTTTCAGATTATCTACCTAGCTGTTGAGATCGCACGAAATGTGGAAGGAATAAATGAGAAATTGAAAGCGGAGTATTCGGAAGATCATAGGAAGAACGGTGCTCAGTTATAGCTTTCACGATGCTTCTTTGATATTCATTAATCCTTCTATGGCTACACTGTCATCAAAGCACTCAGGTTACGCAAATTTCTCGCTCGGCGATCGACTGTAAGTCTACTTTCTCGAATTCTGTATTCTCGTTGTTATCGTTTACGTTGTCGACAATTGTTGCTCTTTATTGTTGCTTCTTTTTGCTGTGTTTCCCGGTTTTTAGAGTATATTTTTCTCTATCTGGCCAAAGGAATAAAGGTTATGAAAAGGAATCGTTGCCTCTGCAGTTGATGTGTTCTTCCTCTTACTCTACCTGTTCTTTTACTCTTTCCCTCAATTCTCACTTTTTTCTGTTTTTCATATAATTCGCAGAACGCGTTTCAGATGAGTTTCTCTTTTGGTGCTAAACCAACTACTGGTTCGTCGTCACTGTTCGGTGCACGTAAGTTGACTAATTCTTTTTAAGATTCTTGTTCGACTGAGGAGTTCTCGAAACAGATGTTCCGATATTATCGTTATTGTGATTTTGTTTCTGTGGTGGTGGAATATCAAATGTTTATGGAGTTACTTGTTTTTTTAACGCTCAAGGAATCATAGGCGTTTAATTTAAAATGAAAATCGGGAAGTGTGGGGTTGTGGAGCACCACTAGAATAGGTGGAAAGCGGGGTTATGCGTGGCAGTGTCAAGGGAAGGGGAGTTGGAAACAGTGTCACCTCCAGTGTACAGAGTTGCGTTTAGTATGGTGTCAAACGTATGGTTGGTCGATCATCGGTCCATCAAATCGTGCGCTGCGGAAATCTGGTATTCTGGTACCATTCAGGGTCACCCTCAAACAGTTGATTTATTTCTATTTTCTCATCCTCCCGTTTTCGAATCGATCAAAATGCTCGAAGATCGCTTATTGCCGGCACAACTTCCTGTGTAGACTTCGCTTTGACCACAAAAAGGTCGAAGCAGAACGGAAATGGACGAGCTACAACTCGAACTTGCTCTTGTGATCGCTTCTGCCTGCGCTATTCTTTCAGCATTGCTTCTTCCAAAGTTTTGCATCCCTTCTTAAACCAACATCTCTCGCTGGAGGAATCGTTGATGGTTTCACGCACTATAAGGAACGTCGACGCCTATTTTTCCTCTAAGTTACTCTCTTCCTAGAGCAATAATATCTTTGAGCTGTCCACAAATTGGTAGACCTTTTAACGATGGCCAATGATAAGCTGCTTTTTTTCATAAAAGTTTGCGAAAAAAAAATTCAAAAATCATTACGCATCCAATACTTGGGTAGTCAGGTGGGCAAGAGTCGCGGAAGGTACAGATTAACTTAATTGCTCGCATTCTGTGTGTTTGCTGGTCATTATTCTAACTTTTAGCTTGAGGATCTTAAATGCACTATTTTTTTGAGCAAGACGTACAGCGATAATCTATCCATTTCTTACTATATTATATTACTTTCAGCTTCCACAACTACATCATCGCTGTTTGGATCAAGTGCGACAGGCACGACCACGACATCCGCATCTTCAGTTTTTGGAGGTACCGCGACTGCACCATCAATGTTTGGTGGTGGCGGATCCTTGTTCGGCTCCTCTACGAGTAATACAACTGCAGCTCCATCGCTGTTTGGATCAACAACTACAACATCAACTGCAGGCTCTTCATTGTTCGGAGCAAAACCAACCGGCTCGTCAATGTTTGGTACGGCCACCACCACAGCTCCAAGTAGTGGTCTTTTTGGCAGCACTTCGAATGGTCCTACTACAAATGCATCACTTTTCAATGCCACGACAAGTGCGCCGACGGCAGGTACAGGGCTCTTCGGAGCATCGACCAATGCGACAACAACTGGATCATCCATGTTCAGTTCAACAACTGCGCCCTCTACAGGCCTCTTTGGTGCTCCAGCAGCAACAACTGCATCAGCGGGACTTTTTGGAGCGTCTAAGCCTACATTCGGATCTACAACTGCTGCCAGTGCGACCTCTATGTTTGGGTCGGCCACTAACGCTGCACCATCGACGGGTTTATTTGGAGCTCCATCAACGACAACAGCTTCACTTCTAGGAGGAGCAACAACTACCTCTTCTACAGGACTGTTCGGAGCAGCACCTGCTGCAACAACGACAACGTCGATGTTTGGAGCTCCAGCAACTACCACTTCGACGTCAATGTTCGGAGCGTCCACAGCTGCAAAAACTACTACCGCTGGATCTCTATTTGGAGCTGCTGCAGCTCCATCACTGTTTGGTGCACCAGCAACGACCGCCTCTACAGGAACATCATTTTTCGGTTCACAGCCATCAGCAGTGACGTCCACACCATCATTTTTTGGCTCCACCACCACGACTACTTCGGCTGCCCCTTCACTATTTGGAGGTCCGACCACTACGAGTGCAGCTTCATCTCTTTTCGGCTCTGCAACAACGACTAGTGCCACCCCGTCGTTCGGTTTATCTACAACGTCAGGTGCCCCATCCCTCTTCGGTTCCTCTTCGTCAACAACGAGTAGTGCTGCCCCTCTCACATTTGGTTCTTCGACCACGACTGCAGCTGCTCAGTCAACTCCTCTCTTCGGCGCGTCGACTACAGCTACAACTTCTGCTGCACCATCGCTCTTCGGCACCACCCCGTCAACCACAAGCGGTGCTGCGCCTTCGGTATTTGGTGCCCCCGCTTCGTCTACCGCTACGTCTACGCCTTCGCTTTTTGGCTCAACCGCGACCACGACATCAGCTCCTGCCCCTCTTTTTGGAGCGACAACTACGTCTGCGCCACTGACATTCGGTTCTGCCTCAACAACGACCACCAGCACCCAGCCGCCACCACTTTTTGGCGCTGCCACCACCACAACAGCACCAAGTGCGACTACAGCTTCTTCAACTGCTGCACCCTTATTCGGTGCTGCTCCTACAGTGTCATCGACAGCTCCAGGCCTCTTTGGAACGACAGCAACAACATCCTCCACTGGTCTGCTGGGTTCGCTAACTCCGAAGACATCTGCCTCTGGTGGTCTGTTCGGTACAGCAGCTAGTACCACCGCTGCTTCCACGACTCCTAGTGGTGGATTACTATTTGGTGCTAAACCTACTACGACGACGTCTACACCATTGTTTGGTGCCAAAACAACGGCTGCACCCTCTTTATTTGGAGCCACAACGTCGCTTGGCGGTGAGTAATCGCAGTTGAGTGATCAGTTTATTTTTTTATTTATAATAATGATAATTTAGGCACTGCCCCAACAACAACCACACCCTCACTTGGGCTCGGAGGAACTACACAAACATCTGGTGAGTACACAAAATTTATTTTTTTCGTCTAAATAAATTCCAAGATAGCGACTTTTTCTGCATTGTTTTTGTCCAGGTTTTGGCGCAACTCCTGGTATTGGTACTACCACTGCCGGTACCACAGCAGAGAAGGAGAACTTACGTGATGGTATTGTGCCAAAACCTATCCGCGAGGTGGCGATACAGCTGAGGTTCGGATTCGGCTTCTTCGATTGTCCGTCCTTACATTTATTGAATTTTGACGAAGCTAATGGCTGACTACAATTTAGAGAAAAGTTGAAGGAGAACAGAAAGCTGGCAGAAGAGTTTACAGCAAATTCCAGTGACATGACAATCAAAGTGAAGGATCAGATCAAGGAGGTGATTGTTTTTCAGCTACGAAGTTCCTTTCAAGCCCACTATCAATTCACGATTACAGGTCGAGCACAAATTGTGCGAAGTGTACAGTAAGACATCTGAGTGCGACATGAAATGTGCGCAGCTAAGTAGGCGCATTACCAAGGATTTGTACTTGGGTGATATCGCCCAACGTGTACAAGAATCGGCCAGCAAAAATGTGCACATCAGTTCACATACACAAATTATCGAGTAGGTCTTCATTAAGTTCCTCTCACCTTTCATTCATGAACTGTGTTTTTAAGAACTCTCAAGTTGTTTCGTCATTTCAGATACATGGTCGATAGTATTCGAGAGTATGATGAAGCGGTTAATTGCTATCAGAGCGCTGTAACAGATATCAGTGCCAAGCTGAATGACGCTATGAATGGAAAGGTATGTTAAATGGGTTGCTTGAAAAGCTTGCTTGGTTTTACGTCAAATCGCAACTGTTAAAATCATTGGAGATAGAGAGAGATCACAGCTTTGTCATTCTGCCCTATTACATTCTGGGAAAGTATAAATTGTTTGCCCGGGTAAGAAGTGGTATAAACCATAGCGTATGTAGAATCGATCTTGTTCCAGTCCTCTGAACTTGTGACAAATATAAGGGGGTATAGTCGTTACCCTGTTTAAATGTCGTGCGAAGAAATCCTACAAGGAAACAACTGGGATTTCTGCTTAACGGCCTTTATTTGTTTTTTGGAGAAAACTTCCACGGACTATTTGTAGCGCACATCTTTCAGGGTTCAATGACGGTAGCAGACTTGAAAGAGCTGTTGACGCGTTTTGATATTGCTTTTTCACGAGTCGCAACCAGGTTATTCGAAGCTTCACGAAAAGTGCAGGTATTTCATTCGTTCTCTTCGGTCTTGCTTTGAATTGGATGGGTCAGCCTTATTTTGTGACTCGTCATAGTTTCTCATATTTCATCACTTCATTGTGTTTACGCTTTGGAGTTGGGGGGACTATATTTTCGGGTTCTGTGATTGCTACTTATTGTTAGTTAATTCGCCACTGAGTTCTTCCACTGATCATTTTTAGGATGCAAAATCGGTCATGACAGCCGACGGATCTTTGTATATACAACGGGAAACAATAGGTCGTAAAGCTGATGGGTCGCTGTCCTTCAATAAACTTCGTGGAAACGATTTTGTTCCGTCTCAATCATCAATTGCTGAGTTGGGAAAGCAGCTGAAGCCGGCCGCAGCAACCGCCGCTCCGGCTGGAACTGGAACTGGTACAACTTTGTCTTTTTGTCACATTCATATTGTGAAGAGTTACTTCGCAGGTCGAAAAATTCTACATTGAATAAGTACTTTTGGAATTACGGTGTTTTCAGGCCTGTTCGGGTCGACAACCGGTGGATCACTGTTTGGATCTAGCACGACGGCTGCGAAACCATTCTCATTTGCGAGCACGTCAACAGGAGGCACGTCGTTGTTCCCCTCACTTACCACATCAAGTGCAGGACCACTGTTTTCGTCGTTAACATCGACTTCAACTACCGCGCCCAAGCCAACCCTTAGCTTCGGTTCGACAATCACGAATAATTCAAGCGGATTACTGTTCAGCAGCAAGAAGTAGTCATTGTTTTCATCGATAGCTAACTTTTTTCTCACATCAAATGAACGGGAATGCTGCATCTCCTTCCTTTAGGACTTTTTTTTCGTAGTAGTGTATTCCATATGAAGCTCTTTTGTTAAGTTGTTTCAGTTAGATCAAACTTTTGTCAAGTAACTTTTTTGCCGTTACGTCTATTTTTGTTTTAGTAGCTGAATTGAATCCCTATTCTGTTCTAACGTTGCCGCAGACACATATGCTATGTTACTTATCCTTCAGAAGTGTACTTCAGTCCCTGATCTTGTGCTCCTCTCTGACATTTGCCCCTGGTGATACCCTTACGTAAGTCAAGAAATCCTCATTTATTGGTGTCTCACTTTTTCATGTTGTCCCATATGCTGGTCCTGCCTCATGATCTATTATTGATGTTACATAAACCGCAGAATAAAGCATTATTTAAAGGAGGATTTTACGATTAGAATGGAGGTCGAGGAAGAAGTAATTCACCTAGTTGAGGGACCCACGGACCTCCTGAGGGTGCGAACTGATGCGCAATTCGCATCGAAAAATTTGACCTCGGCGACCTATTATGCCTCAAAGTTGGCGGGTCTGGCGATCTCCGCCCACCGACCAGCTGATCACTCGCCGCAGATCTATACGTGGGATTGATTAGATAGCAGAGAGAGCGTGATGTTGAGGAGGGCACAGCGATAGAGTCGCATCAATGCTCAAATCAACGGGCAAGGAAGGGGTCCCATTTCTCGGGTTCTGGGCCGTTTCTCATGGTTCTTCCTTCTTTCGTGTACCAATCACCATCCCTAGGTTAATTTGAAATGGGTTGCCTTCATCGTGAATTCGTCCTTTAAGAAGGAATCG